CTCTCTCTCTCTCTCTCTCTCTCTCTCTCTCTCTCTCTCTCTCTCTCTCTCCGGCCTAGAATTTATTGAGCAGGAGCTGTCAGGGGAAGGAAGCTGTGTTGAAGGAAAAAAGGACACTCTTTCTGAATACCGCTCTAGACAATATTCAATTTTACAATATTATGCTGGTAGGTATTTGCATCACGTCGACTTAAGCTCCTACTTGATCAAGTGAAAAGTCTATTCGCCCGATTGGTAAAGGGCCCACCTTCAAATCAAATCAGAAATCCCTGGGCATACGTGCCCAAAATCTACCGTGATCCTGATTGCAAATATTCTAATCCTTCATTCAATAACTGTATATCACATAGGAGGCCTAGTGGTTATTGAGTATGCGATGTCAGGGGAAGGAAACTGTCTTGAAGAAAAAAATGACACTCTTTTCGTAAAGCGCTATGGAGAATATTCAACGTTACAATATTATGCTGGGGGGTATTTACATCTCGTAGATTTAGCCTCCTACTTGATCAAGTGAAAAAGTCTACTCGTCCGCGATTGGTAGATCGCCCACCTTCAAATCGAATCAGAAAAAAAACAGAGAATACGTCCCTAAAATCTTACGTGATCCTGATTGCAAATGTTATAACTCTTTTATCGACACACTGTATATTGTACAGGACGCAGGCCTTCAAACATTTACTCGTCAAGGCCAACCACGCTGAGTGGGATACAACATAACGCCTTTATTATATATCCTGACAGACCTCACGCTCTCGTGCGTGCAGAGACAACTCTAGCCTTCCGACCACCCAGCCTAGTGTTTATTGGGCATGAGATATTCGGGGAAAGAAGTTGTCTTAAAGGAAGAAATGAAACTTCTTTTGAATACCCCTGTGGGAAATTGTCAATGTTACAATATTATGGTGGTATGTATTTGCGTCACGTCGACTGAAGCCCTCACTTGATCAAGTGAAAAGTCTAGTCGTCCGATTGGTAGAGCGCTCACCTTCGAATCAAATCAGAAAAGAACAGCATACGTTCCCAAAATGTACCGTGATCCTGATTGCAAATGTTCTAACCCCTTTATTGACACACTGTATATTGCATAGGACGCAGGCCTTTCAACATTTACTGGTCAGGCCCAAACAGCATAACGCCTTTATTATATATCCTGACAGACCTCACGTTTTTGTGCGTGCAGATATCTGTCTCCCTTTCTCTCCTTCCAACCAACCAGCATAGGCATTTATTGGCCGTGAGATGTTGGAAGGGAAGGAATCGCTCAGAAGGAAGAAATGGCACTCTTTTAGAATACCGCTACAGAAAACGTCCCATAATAAATTATGATGGTGGGTGTTTGCATCACATCGACCCACTTCTTAATAAAGTGTAAAGTCTATTCGTCCGATTGATAGAGACGTCGTCTCGAATGAGAAAGGACACACTTTTCTAATAAGCCTATAGAGAGTGACTCTTGTGCGATATCATATCATGTTGTTGGGTGTTGGCATCACGTCGGCTTACTTAATAAAGTTTTTCTCGAGTCTGAAAACAGTAGCGACAACTGTACGCATCTCAAATACAGTGGTGAGGCGTCGTGTAGATGAAGGGAGAAAGGACACTCTTTATCAAATAATGTGGACAATAACTCTGGTTCGATGTTATGCCGGTAGATTTTTGCATCACGTCCCCTCAGGCCCCTATTTGAGAAAGTTTAAAGTGTTTGTCCGACTGATGAGGATCCCACGCTCCAATCGAATCAGAAAACCCAGAGTACGCCAAGAGAACCCAGGGTATACAAAAAACAGCCAACCCCCACCCCTAAAAAAAACCAAAACTGCTATGATCCTGGTTCCAAATGATCCAAGCTGTTATCGGCTACATTGGGTATTGTTAAGGAGGCGGGCTTCTTCAGCACAACCCATCAAGGCCAACCAGGCAGAGTGGGATGCAACATGCCCCCGTTTTATCATTTCTCGTGACAGACTCGATGTTCCTCAATTTCCTGTGGGTGTACAGAGCTCTCGCCTCCCGACCACACATACACGATGTCTTATTGGACGTGAATTGTTGGAGGGGGTCGTCTTCAAGAGGGAGGAAAGGCCTCCCTTTCAGAATACCGTACCGCTATTTTTTTTTTATGTCCGAGATAATGTTGATGGGGTGTGTACATCAAGTATTCTGTTTGCGACCTGGATAGATGGAGTCAGGGAAACACTAACAACTCATGGCATCCCTCTGACCCAAGCTCTCTGGGTCGTGGCAGAGAGACGTCTCTTTGTTCCCGCTACACGCAAAAGGGTATAAGCGGTGGATAAAAGTAAAGTATTATGTTTGCAAATGACGAAGAGTCTATGTATTCAATACAGGGTTCTATTTCAATAAACTCTGGAAGTTTTAAACCATTGAACTCCGTATTCTTGGAAGCGTGTTAACCATCTCTGAAAAGAGTGAAATGTTAGTGGTTTAACGCCCCTGTCAACACTATTAGGTTATTTAACAGGCGGGACCTCCGGGTTTAACGTCCATCTCCGAAAGGGCCAAGCTAAAGAAGAAATTCGTGGAAAGTGCCTTTCCCAAGACACATCTTCGGGCCAAGCTGACGCTCGAACCCCCGAACCCCCGAACCAGCAATCTTTCGATTATGGGTCCGGTAGCCTAACCTCTAGGCCACCAACGCCACTTCAACCATCTCAGAAAAAAGGAACTCCTCAGTACTCTCGTGGCCTTAAGGTTAAGGTGTTCGCCTCTCATTCAAAGGTCCCGGGTTCGAATCCGGGTAGCGACGGAAAAATTTTCTTCTCTAAAATTGTATCCTTTCACCTTCTTTCCTTCTCTCTTGTATTACTCTGTCGTCTGCTTTCGTCTCCACTTTCTTTCCCCATTCCCTCACCTCCTTTGCCCCCTCCACTGGGCTCCTGACTCTTTCTGCAGCCTTTCCACTGCTACTTCTTGGCTCCTTCTTACTGTTTTCTTTCAGCCACACCGTGATCTTCTGGTGGGAAAGATCTACACCTAGCCTGCTCGAACAAGGGCGAAACATTTCGGAGGTCCCGTGTGCAAGTTGCGCACGTTAAAGATCCCTTGGTGCTCCAAAATCGATGCAGTGTATGCTTTGGCCACCAACCTGGCAAAATTCAAAATTACCTGTCTAAGACAATCACTTTTATCCTCGACAACAGGTGACCGTTTTGTACAATTTCGAGTGAACTTGAAATTTTGAAACCACGAACTTTGTGTTCTTGAGTGGCCTAAATATTTTGCAGTCTCACCCTCTCGTAACACCTCTAATCTTCGGCACTTACATGACCCTATTGTGTTGCAAGTGCCGTAATACTTTCCAACAAAAAAATCTCCTTTTTTTTTATCTTTGCGGGGCTCACAGGGGAAGTAATCCATATCATGGTGTCAGGAAGATGAAGGGAGTCTGGGATCAATAAACACACCAGTGTCTACACACGTCTCATCCTCTCGATACTTTCGTTTGGTCGGTTATTGTTTTAGATTTTACACCCCTTTCAACGATAGATGCAAAGTTTTTTAAGAGACGGGACCTTCGAATTTAACACCCACCTTCTGATAGAACCGATTTGAGCCAAATGGGAGGGGAGAGAGAGAAAGAGAGAGAGAGAGAGAGAGAGAGAGAGAGAGAGAGAGAGAGAAGGAGAAAGATATAAAGAGAGAGAAAGAGAGATAGAGAGAAAGAGACAGAGAGAGAGGGAGAGAGAAATAGAGATTGAGAGAGACTTTAATCTCCCCCTCAATAACCCAAGTTCGAGAAGGCTCCGATACCTACGTTTATGAAATCGTCAAAAGAGCAGGAAACCGAGCAACCATCCGTCTTAATGGAATGGCTCGGCCATTCAGTAACGGAACGGAAAATTGGCACGAGTGAATGCCGTCTTCTCCTTTGGAAAGTCATCTTTGCTCGGACGCGGGAGACATATTAACCCAATACACAAACGTCGGCCATGATAAATTCGGCTTGACGGTAGAGCACTAGGTCACAATAATAAAACAGCAGTTTGAAAAACCGCGTGCGCGCGGAATCGTGTTTCCCTAAATAACCCCGT